GCCCTACTAACTTAACAAATTTCATGGTGATATAAACAACTAAAAAAAATAATATTTTAAAAATATATATTAAAATGACAATGTATTAAATTGATCCTAGTCAACTCATATTAATATGCAAAATTCATGCTCCAGGTCATGATAACCTCATACAAAACAAATAAAAAATTATATTAAAGTTTAATTTTCAATCAACTAAATATTAAAAAATAAAATTAAATAAGAAACTAGAGCCAGCCTAGGTTAATATGTAAAAATTTGATCATGAGATTGAGATAATCTAATAAAAAATAAATTATTAAACTTGATTCTCAATCAATTCAATATTTAATGATGAAAATAAAAAAAACTTGAGTTTACCTTATTTAATATATCAATTTCTTAACTTAAGTCATGAAATGAGAATTATCTCTTTAAAAAAAATATAAAACTTAATCCCTGTTAAACTTAAACAATGAATAATACAATTTAAAAAAATAATTATAGTAATAACTTGTAAAAGCTAAACTCATTCAAATTACTTATAATGTAGGTCACGTGGTCATAATAATCTCGTATAAAATAAATTATAAATCTTATTTTTTAAAAAATATAAAGTTAAATGAGGAAATAAGGGGAAAAAATCTGAATTATATATATATATATATTTCCGGTCAACAAGAGGTCAATGATTTCTCTCTTGATTGATACCTGTTGATACATGAATAACCAGCTGTGTATATTAATATTGTTGCGGAAAGATATTTATAACTTTTTTTTTATATTGTTGACAGGGAAATACGAAAACGGGAGCGGGTTGAGTTCAGACAAACCGTAGTCAAATGACGGCATCGAAAGGGAGACAACCCATGTCTCTGGGGATTACATGGCAATCAAAACAAGTATTTTAAAAAATTAAAATATTTTAAATTACGAAAAAATATATATCTTTTAGTCAAATTTTCATTTTTTATCAGAAATTTTTATAATAATATGTATTTTTTCTACAAGTAGCATGGTTTTTTTGAATGAAAACCTAGCACAATGAAAATAAATATCTGTAACAATTCAAATGATCAAAGTCAATGAGAAATTGAAAAATATATATTTCTTTAATCAAAGCCCTCCTCCCTTGTTCATCTTTTTTCTAGCAGAGATATATTTTTTTAATTAGAATAGTGATTAATTAAACAAAAACAATTTTAATAGAAAAAAAACCATGCCATAATAATAATGCATAAAAATAAAAATAAAAAATCTAGCAAAATTGCACTGTGGAAGAACATTTTATTTTATTTTTAACAGTAAAGAAGATATTGTTTTAGCCTGGTTTGTTGATTGTTAATGCTAGTAATTTTTAATTATTGATCGTTAACTATTAACCATCAATGTTTTTTTTTGTTAGAATTAAATATAAATTATTAATATTCAAGGCCGCATGGGGTTTTTTACATTTGACGCAATTGAATGCTCATGGTTTTAGTTTACATTAAAAAACGATGATATAAGCTTCTTTTATTACACGTAAAAGATGAGATTTGACGTTCGAAGCATAGTCTTTAAAATAAGATTTATCATGATTTCAAAAAAATCATCAAAAAAACTTTCTTGATTGTTTTTATGCTGATTATAAAAAAATCAAAAGGATTGTTAATTTTAAAAAACAATATAAAACATTCATAATAACATGAAAAATGAAAAAAAAACATTTATATTCACATTGAATATCCTTGAGCATTTAAAAAGAAACATGGCATATTATGTTAACATATAATTGCTCATAAAATAATTGTTAGTGTTACCATGGAAACTCTAACCTTGCTTTTAAAAAAATAGCTTAATCGATTATTTTTTTCATTTATTTTTAAAAATATTATTTTAAAAAATATTATTATTAAAAAAAATTAAATAAAACAATACCCTTAAAACATTAAAATATCATACGAGTCAGGGAATTAATTTTAAAAAATGGTCAAGCATTGTCGAGTCTCAAAGATCACACTTGTAAGCATGGGTGTGCCGTTAATTTGTAAACCATAGCAAACTCCATGCATAATCAATGCTTGAAACTTGGGATCTAGGTAATTTGGACCTAAAAAATCTAAATTTCAAATATTTTTTCTTCTAAAAATACCCTTAAAACATTATATGAGCCCAAAGAAATATATTTTTATTTCGAAAACACCTTGTAATAAACTTTAAAATTCAAAATCAAACTAAACAAAACAAAAATTAATGAATATCAATCTACTTTGTATGGCATAATTAAAGGACAATATAATCTCCACTGAACTTCCATTTTTAAGACAAACCAACAAGACCAAAATTGTTTTGTGTGGTCATAACATGGTCAGTTTAAACATTTACCTCATCTCTTTATTTTATGACAAGGTTTTCTCTACCCTCTCAATATCCAGGATCTCTTCTCCCTCCCTCCCTCCCTCTCTCTCTCTCGCGGCAAGTTTCGCTCTTCCCTTTTGATATTTAGAAACCGGAAGATAATGAAAATAAAATTTACGATCTAAATATAAATATCTAAAACTATAATGACCAAGTAAATGCAAAAATTATAAAACTAAGGGACTATATTGTAATTTGATGCCGAGAGGCTGCAATGCTTAAGAGTGAAAACCTCAAGTCTTTTAATTCTTTGCTAGTATTATCATTCCATTTCCCCCCTCGATTGGAATATTTTATTCAGTGACCAACTTTTGGCCATGAATGCAAGATATATTGTTCCAGACACACCTATTGTTCATGGCTATATCACATAAAAATATATTAAAAGTTAATTTTGGTCAAGAATATTTTTAAAAAAAATATAAGGATTAGTTTAGGATAATTTCATGTGAAGGATATTTTTTTAGGAACAAATCAACAACAGTTAATTTTTTTGGGACACATTGTAAAGATTTTGTATAAAATATAGTATAAATTGAGCTGATTTTTTTTTCTATATATAAAAGGTTTTTAAACTTTCAAGATCTAACGAGACGTGAGATATTAGTTCTCACAAATCTTTCAATTCAACCATTCGAAATTCCATTAACAAGTACTGTGTTAAAATCCTAAAACAATATGATAGAGAATTGGGTATGGAAAAATCACCTGCAATTGTACAGTTCAATAACCGTTCTGTTTCCTCTGAAATCGAAAGGACATATAAAAGCTCGCTGATGATCAAGAATTGAATCCAGTCAAAAAGTGATTTTTTAAAAAATTTAAATTTTTTGTTTTAAATTCTTTTTTAAATTATTTTGATATTAATTTTTTTTAAAAATGTTATCTTAATATATTTCTAAATAATTTTTTTTATAAAATAATCAATATACAATACCAAACATTTCTCTATAGTGTTTTTTGTTTTTTTTTTTTCAATTTACGTGGGGTGTTCGGGTCAGCTTACGCACATCACGACTAATCTCCACGGCCCACTGAACATCCTGCAAGCCCAGTGAGCAGGTAAGGCACCGCGGGGTGACAGGTGTGCATGGTGAGATTTGAACCCAGGTGCAAAGAAAGAGGACAAACCCCTCCCACCACTAGACCAGAACCTCACTTGCAGTGTTTTCTGTTCTCGATCGACTTTTAACTGGGTTCGATTTTAGCATGGGTTAACGATTCACTTTCGGCCTTAGCTGGTACTTAGAATCTTTATCTGCTCTCCGCCTTAGGCACATTTTTAATTGATGAAATTGGAAACTAATTTCTACTGTGTTCTGCTAAAAAAACAACAAACACAAGACCCAAATAAAAAACATTTGTTTTTTGTGCAAGCACTTTCTTTAGATAAAGGGTTCTTTCATCTTGTTTTTTCATTTAAATGATATGCAAATGTGGAAAACACTGTTCTGTCTTTAAGCTTATGTTCGAAAGTCCGGTAAATATTGTGTTTTTTTAAAAAAAATATTTAAAAAATAGTAATTTTTTTATTATCACATAAACGTATCAAAACAATAAAAAACTAAAAAATTTACTTTAAATAAAAAATATTTTTTGAGATTTTAAACAAATAATATTTTAACTGCATTGTGAAACACCCCTATAAGCAACGGAGACAGTTCACAAGTGAAGAACATGACACCGGACCACCTTTACATAACAAGTAGCCACTGCATCTGAAACTATGGCCCTCTCACAAAGAACTGCTTCAAAGGCAATGATTTTTGGATAGATCTCAAATTACCAACCAACAAAAACTTCCTCTTATTGGCTCCAAGTCTACAAATCCCACAATCCTTGAGATGGACCAAAAATTTATAATTAACTTCTTAAAGAGATAAGAAAAGTTAATGGGGTGTGCAAATATAATTAACTTCTCTTATTTCTGGAGTGCCAGTGTGTTTGGAACTACAGGTGTATATATTTAGATTAAAAAAAATCAAATTAATATTTTTAATTTTTTTTAATGTGTTACTATAATATGTGTGTGTATAATGATTTTAATATATTTCAAAAAAAAAATTGGAACTACAGGTGTATATATTTAGATTGAAAAAAATCAATTTTTTTTAATGTGTTACTATAATATATGTGTGTGTGTAATGATTTTAATATATTTCAAAAAAAACAAAACTTCGCTACAATACTATACATATCGCAGCACTTGATGTCCTCAGAAAAAAAGAAGAGAAAAGAAAAGAAAAAAGTCTTTTCATGATTACGAACTCAATGTGTTAATTAGGCATGTTACTTTCGGAGATGGCACTAAAACTTTAATCAGTAGGTGGTGGGCTCCAACGTCACTTTAAATATACAAACAGATTCTTTTTCTTACCTGTGGATGGATGATTAAAAATATTCACTCTATCTCTTAATATTTTTACTTAAAATTTTAAAATCAAAATATTTTGTGAGTTTAACATGCTAATCGCTAAATTGATATGGGATGTATTTATAAAATTATTTAAATTTTTTTGTTTTAATTGAAATATAAGCTGATAAAAAAATGCTTTAATCATATAAATATGGGATGTATTTATAAAATTATTTAAAAAAAAATTTAATTGAAATATAAGATGATAAAAAAATGCTTTATTCATATAAAACCGAAAACAAAAAATTGAGACACCAAACCACTACAAATAGCTGATGATTATGATCACTCATCTCCCACACTGAAGGGGTTCCTGTCCTTGGATGTGACAATGGTTTCAGCTTCTCCTTCTAAGGTGAGCACAGCCAGCTATACCCTTGTTAATTTTATATTTATACTAATTGCATGCCTATCGCTACGAAAAAATGTAACCGTTGTTCCTTCCTATTCTTGAAATCTAAACAGGAAGACCAGTCCAGTGGCAAATGGACCGAAGGCGATCCCGCTCGCCGAGCCAAATGGTGGTACTCAACTTTCCACACGGTCACAGCCATGATCGGTGCAGGTGTTCTAAGTCTGCCCTATGCTATGGCTTACTTAGGCTGGTATGTTAGTCAGTACTGTAACAAGGCCCGACAAATTCATATTCAATATGTAAGTGCAGTAATGAATTAGAACCAAAACTACTAGAAAATAACTGTTTATTTTCTTCAGGGGTCCAGGGATAACGGTTCTGGTGTTATCTTGGTGCATGACTCTGAACACAATGTGGCAAATGATCCAACTCCATGAATGTGTTCCTGGGACTCGCTTTGATCGCTACATCGACCTTGGTCGACATGCTTTCGGCCCGAATTTGGGACCATGGATTGTCCTACCTCAGCAGCTGATTGTTCAAGTTGGTTGTGATATCGTGTACATGGTTACGGGTGGAAAGAGTTTAAAGAAGTTCATGGAGATGACTTGCGCCTCTTGCACCCCAATAAGGCAGTCTTACTGGATTTTGATCTTTGGTGGCATCCATTTCTTCTTGTCTCAGCTTCCGAATTTCAATTCTGTTGCTGGCGTTTCACTAGCTGCAGCAGTCATGTCACTCAGGTACTTGGTTTTATACTTTTAACCTCGTTATGCCCAATTACTTATGATTAAGTACTTGATTAGTTGTGGTGGTTTGTGTCCCAAATGAGAATATGCTTGGTAGGGTACTTTGACATCAAGCTGCAATTTTATCACGGCTAGTAGAACATTTTGGTGCAAAGTAGGCATGCTAAACCACCCTGTCGTTCCACCATTCCAATCTTATCGGAGACAATAAAACATTTTGATTCAACAGTTCATTACAGTGACAAACGATTTCACAAGACGATGATAAAAAGCACGATCCATTGAAAATGAAGGAATTTTAGCATTGAAAAGTAAATTTTGTTTATGATCACTTCATCAGGGGGGGAAAAGTAAATTTTGTTTATGATCACTTCATTAGGGGAAAAAAACAAGAATCGTTCTCCGAAGTTGAAGAAAATTTGCTGGATAAACTACTAGTTGAAAAGCCAAGCACTGATTCACGCTGCTGCCTTGGTTAGCCTTTAAACTACTCCGTGAGAAGAAATTCATTTTAACACAATATGATCACACCAAATGATCACATGTGAAGAGACTTCAAATATATATCCTGAACCTATAGTCATTTGGCCATAATCAAGCAATTTTCCCCCTTTTTTCTAATGACACATGACCTAGTAATTTGACAAAGAATTATATGTTACTCCTCTATTTTCACGACGCCCGAACTCATAGTATAATCGATCTATTTTATCATTGACTCTGATTCAAAAGGCCTATATATCCCCTCACCAGCCTGCCATCAGCATACATACAAGTTTGAAACAAAATTTGAAAAAAGATGAAATTCTCTCTAGCTAGTACTAAGATCTAGACTGATTAGTAGTATTGTATAGCATTCCATTTCACTTTCCAATGAATAAATGTGATTTCCATAAATCCTTGATCCTCAGCACGAAGTCTATGATTTACCATTGGTGCAACTTAAAAGGAAAAATATAGACTACAGTTTCTCAAGCTCTAAGATTATAATTTTAAATTATAAAGAAAATAATATTTTAATAAATTTAAAAAATTAATAATTCTTAGAATTGTTCCGAAAATAACTTGTAAATTGTTTAAACAAGTGTTACACCAGTCTAACTAACTAAAATCAAATCAAACTAAAATTATGAACCTAGCTAGGAAAGGGATATAAAATAACTAGAAAAATAAAAATAAAAATCCTTAGCAACATATTTTAGATTTAATTTAAGCATGTTCTCGATTTTAGTTGGTTATAGCCAACAAACTACTATAAAAATAAGAATGTAAAATGCACTATTAAAATTTCAGTTTGATTTAATAATCGTATTAAAAATTATTTTTGTTTCAGTTTCTTTTAGATTAAAACTTTTGATTAACTTCCGTTGCAAACTATACACAAGATAGGACTAGGAGATCCATTATTCCTTGCATGGTTTGCTCGCAAAACTTGACTTTGAACACTGGTGACGATTCTGGTCATGCTTTATCACACTCACTTGCATCGTATCATGAAACTCGTAAAGCACTCGCGATTGTATCAGAGTTTACAGATTTACTATGGACCGATGACTTGTAGAAAGAATCCCGGTCTTAATCATCCAAACAGGCCGTTGCTTAAAAGCTATTGCTTTTGCGAGGGTGATTCGGGTTACTTTTTTGGACCGAATATATGCTGATCACCCATTGCACTATGAGTGGCGCGCAGCCATTATGGGATAAGTTAAATTAATCTTGTGGAAGAAAATGGGATGAGACTTTAGACTTGGAGGCCGCTCCTTTATGCTTTTGGTGAAACGAAAAAATGGCGAAGGGGAGCCAACCTTATTCATCATGATTATTTTGGTGAAGCAGGCACTTTAAAGTGAATGTTATAAATGGCTAAGTCACTCAAGATTTAGCCTTGTAAATATAAATAGTACCAAATCAAAAGGTGAACCCGAACGTGCTTAAAGACATCAAGGCATTAACTTTGTATACCTTTTCATTCCTGTCATTCTTATGTTGAATTTGGACGGTTTTATTTTCTGCTCACAAGGGCACCAGTCACGCAAAAGCTAGAGGTGCCTGATTGATACAACACCGTGCGGTGTTGTCTTACTCCATTGAGTTTCTGGTTGCAGTTATTCAACCATAGCCTGGGCAGGTTCCTTGGCTCATGGCCAGATTGATAATGTGAGCTATGCTTACAAAAACACCAGCGCAGCTGACTACATGTGTCGTGTCTTCAATGCACTGGGAGAAATTTCTTTCGCGTTCGCTGGCCATGCAGTTGTCCTTGAGATTCAGGCTACAATTCCATCAACTACTGAGAAGCCTTCCAAAATCTCAATGTGGAAAGGTGCACTGGTTGCTTACTTTATCAATGCAATTTGCTATTTCCCCGTTGCCCTTATAGGGTATTGGGCATTTGGACAAGATGTTGATGATAATGTCCTTATGGAGCTGAAAAGACCCGCATGGCTCATTGCCTCTGCTAATATAATGGTGGTAATTCATGTCATAGGTAGCTACCAGGTACAACAAGAGACTACATTATTCATACAATATTTAGCCATGTACACATGTTTTTTCTACCGGACCTAACAGGAACCTTTGTAGGTCTATGCTATGCCTGTTTTTGACATGCTAGAGAGGATGATGATGAAAAGATTCAGTTTTCCACCAGGACTTGCACTTAGGCTCGTGACTCGATCTACTTATGTTGGTGAGATTATTCTCTTCGGCATTAAACGTCTTCTAGCATCAAGTTTGCAGCTGCTCGACTCTTAATCTTGTTACCTATTGAATTACAAGTTATTTGTGTCCCTGAAACCTTGCAGCATTTACCCTTTTCGTTGGAGTCACCTTCCCATTCTTCGGAGATCTTCTTGGTTTCTTTGGCGGGTTTGGTTTTGCCCCCACTTCATATTTCGTAAGCCTCTCAAATGGTGTCTACAGTAGTCGCTAAATGACTTACTGGATCGATCGAGCTAACTGATCCATGTTGGGTTTTCTTGCAGCTCCCTTGCATAATGTGGCTAATAATCAAGAAACCTAAAAGATTCAGCACCAAGTGGTTTATAAACTGGGTAAACAGAAAAATCTAACTACCATGACTTTCCTGTTTAAAGCAACAGTTTTGACCAGTGAATTACTTATTAATAACAGTATCTATTTTTTTCTTTCAGGCCTGCATATTCGTTGGAGTGGTCATCATGATGGCATCCACCATTGGCGGGTTCCGGAATATCGTTACCGATGCCTCCTCGTATAGGTTCTACACATAATAACGGCAAAATGTAACTGATCGAGTTTGCAAGACTTCTTTTTTATTGATATGCCTCTGTTGTTATATTAAGCTAGCAACTATTTAAATAGAACAGTCCGGCATAATCCTGTTCTGCTTTGTGGTGTCATATTCAGCAAACAGACTGACTTCATGTTAACATCGTCATAAATCTTAACTACTATGTTTGGAT